TGCATTCTCAGAGAGCAGGAGGGCCTCACTCTTTTCCTCTGTGCTTTCCATATTTTCTTTTCTCTTGGTCAAACACATTCTCCTTCGTGATGCTCTGTGTTTTGGAAGAGAGTCACTTCTGACCTCTCAAAGAGGCTTTCATAACTGCATCGGTCTTCTGAGCCCTCAACTTAGCACCCAAGAATGATCATTCAGTCCTGTTACTCCAGTAATATTCTAATGTGGGTATAACACAATTGTTTCCTTGGTGGTGGCTTGAGACAGTGCATGCTTACAAACATTTTCTTACAAACATTTTCTATAGGACACAGTCCTACACAGTATGGAAAATCTATTCAAACATGTTTTAGGGTAAAATAATATAATAAACAATTTTACTTTCAAAATTTTTACCATGGGAAAAAGTAACACATTCAATGTGGGAGGCTCAGAATTATCAATAAAAAGGCACAGAAAGTGTAAGGGAATATATTTTAGAGTTGTAGGTGTTAAATGTTCATGTATTACTGTGACAGTTCTTAAGGTTGTTGGAGAGATGATGACAGATATGTCAGAATGCCCTAGAAATTACTGGGATCTTCAGGGCAGCAACTGAGTGAGGTAAATCCAAATTTTGAAGGAAAAAAAAGAAAAAATATATAAAAGGAAAAAAGTCATTACCTTCAGAAGAACAAAACCACTGTCCTTAAGTTGCTCACGTTATAAAAATGTCAAGCATCCTTGTGCTTGGAACTTCCTTCTGTTTCCTGCTTTAAAAGCTGGTAAGTGTGAGAAAGGAACTTAGATCCGGATTTCCAAATCTACACTAGTGTGTTCATTTTGGGCACCATAATGGTACATGTGTCACGTCAGTTAATCCCTCTGAGCTTCATAAAGGCAAATTTCATTCAAGAAATCTGTAGTGAGGATTGAGTTGCAAACTCTTATCATGCTAATTTTGATTTGCAAATTTCTGATGACCAACTATATGTAAAACTATGTCATATTATGAGACACAGGAGAAATACATGACATTTCTTTTTCTGTTGGCTCCTGTGCTTCATAAAAAACACTGGAAGGGGTTCTGTTCTCTAGTTTAGAAATTGCACTGGGGCTATCCAGTAGTCCCCCTTATCCTCAGGGGATACATTCCAAGGCTCCCAGTGGATGCCTGAAACTGTGGATAGTACTGAAACCCTGTACGCACTGTTTCTTCCTATACATTTGTATCTATGATACAGTTTAAGTTATAAATTAGGCACAATAAGAGATTAACAACAATAACTAATAGTACAACAGGACAGTTATAACAATATACTGTAATAAAAGTTATGTGTTTGTCTCTCTCTCCCTCACAATATCTGGTAACTGATCTGATAACCCAGTGAGCTGCTAAGTGACTCGTGGGCGGGGAGCCTAGATAGAGTGGATACACTGGACAAAGGGCTGATTCATATCCTGGGTGGGACAAAGCGGAATGGCTCGAAATTTCACCTTGATACTCAGAAAAGTTCAAAATGTAATTTTATGGATGGTTTATTTCTGGAATTTTTTATTTAATATTTTCGGATAGCAGTTGACTGTGGGCAGCTGAAACTGAGGAAAGCAAAACTGTGGATAAGGGGGGACTACTATATAGTAAGCCCTCAATGTCCTTGATAAGTTCTTTGCCTTTAAGTGAAATGATGTATAAAGAAACCAATTTTACCCCAAGCCAATTGATATAAACAACAGTAGATTCCCATAGCATCTCATAATGTTAAAACGAAATGATGTTGAACTAAACCACCTAATTCTAGGACCTGCTGTTGTTTAAAAGTAACACTTATACAATTTGTTCTCAATTTTTGATGACATCTAAGAAGAGAATGGGTTGATATGGTTTCAAGCTTTATCAAAGATAATAAAATTTAATCAAAGAGTCCTTTGTCAAAGGAGGTGCAGGCTGAATAAAACAATTTCTTTGTGTGTTAAAAGTAATTTACAACTTGTATTTTCATTTCCTCCCCTCTTCTCTACTTTATTATTTTCCATCCTCAAGCTTTTGGTTACTTTTAAATTCATACATGTCAAATATTTTACTAAAATTCATTCTTGAATAATCATTATGACTTAAGAAAAGTCATTTTTCTTTGGTTTTGTTCATTGTTATGAAACCAGTGAAAAGCATCAGAAATTGTACTGGGTTAGTGATTGTCTTTGTTTGGGTTCTCACAACAAAATACAATAGACTGTGGCTTAGGCAACAGAAATTTATTTTCTCACAGCTTGGAGACTAGAAGACCAAGATCAAAGTGCCAACCAACTCTGTCCGGGTGAGAGGGCTCTTTTCCTGGCTCGTAGATGGCTGCTTCTCCACGGGCGCTCCTATAACTTTCCTTGGTGAGTTTGTGTGGAGAAATCTCTCTTCCTCTTATAAGGTCATCAATCCTATTGAATCAGGGTTCCACTTTCATGACCTCCTTTAACCTTAGTTACCTCCTAAAATCCCCATCTCCAAATAAAATCACAGGGCAGTTAAGACTCCAGCAGATGATTTGGGGGACAACAGACTTAACTACATCAATATTTCCAGTGGTTTAGCATCCTACACAATGTTTCAGTTTTTACCGTCAACATCTATGGAGCCTGTACTCGGCACCTGACCCTGTGCTGGATTTGGACATTACTATGAAGATGACTGAAAGAGTCCCCTGTCTGTAATCTTATATAGTTTAACAGGTGAGATTGAGGAATATACCCACAAACATCACAATACCCCGTGAGAAACAAAAAACTATTGAACAATGAAATACATGCTTGTGTCATATATAATTACACTTTAAAGATAATTATAAATATTAAACTTTTGCAATATTATCTTTCAAATTTTAAAAATTATTTTTACTAAGCATTTATTTTGTGTTAATGTTCCCTGCTTCCAATTTTATCTTCTAATTATTATCAAATGTCTACATTAGGTAGAGGCTATTTTTACATGTTATTAAAATGAGTAATTTTGTCACAATATTTTGGTTCATAAAAGTAATAACAAGAAAAAAAAAAAAAAGAGAGAGAGAAATGTGCACATGCTATTCCAGAAAAAATATTTCTCTACACTGTATTTCCCACCAGTATATCTTAGTGATTTTTTTTTTCTGTTTTACATACTAGGAGTCCATCATTTTCTGCTCTGATCTATGACGGCAGGTACTGTCTAGTGAGCCACCAAAAACTGTGTTATGTTGTAGGTAGCACATTTTATTCCTGAGTTATCTTCAGTGGCAAAGGCTGTCCTTGTGGCATCATTATCTCTTCAATCTTTCCCCTCCCTCAATACACGATTGACAGGATTTGGAACATCTTGACGACTTTAAAATCCTCTAAGAGTAAATGTATTGCTCCTATAAATTAATAGGACTGTTTTTTTGTTTGTTTGTTGTTTTTTTTTTAAAATATCTTTATTGATTTCAGAGAGAGGAAGGGAGAGGGAGAGAGAGAGAAACATCAATGGTGAGAGAGTCATTGATCGGCTGCCTCCTGCACGCCCCGACTGGGGTCAGGCTGTGCCCTGACCGGGAATCGAGCCTCGATCTCCTGGACCCCAGGTTGATGTTCAGCCGCTGAGCCACGCCGGCCCGGCCTAATAGGACTGTTTTTAATTGGTTGAATCACTTGCCGCTAATGAAGACTATTTTCCCACAGACTTTGACTGAAAACTAAACTGCATTCAAGTTTTACAGTTGCATCAATTTTTGTTTCGATGTAAAATGAAATTAGGTGCGTCTATATATTAGTGTGTTACGTAATTCATGCTTGGCCACACTTTCGTTAGTCATGGGCGGTTCTGAAATGATCAGTATCAAGTGGAACCAAAAGAAGGACCACGATTAATATACTTCCGAAAGCACCTTGAATATCATTCCACTCTCAGAATGATACCTTTTCAAGGCAGCCGTATGTTTAATTTCCAAAATCAGGCTGAACAAGTCCAGGAGACACCCTGAGTTTCTGAGCTCGGAGCCTGGCTTTGTCCTACCGGCTTCCTCAGTGCTATTGTAACCGTTAGGTCCTAAAACCATTTCTATGTGTTTTGCCCTTTTATTTATTTTAGCTGGTGGACACACCTTTTCCTTTTTAAACTGGCATGTTGATGGCCTTTCCTTGTAATAACAGTTGACATAATTTGGCTGAGCTGAAAGAAAACACTGTTAAGGAAACACTGGCCATTTCCAGCTTTCTCAGACCCCTGCGAGGAAGAGTGTGGGTCTCAAACCAGGGTCAGGTGGAGAGAGAGATTCCAGTGTGTGCAACTAAGAACTCCAGGCTCTCGGGCACACTTCTTTTTGCTTGGGATTCATATTTTCGCTCCTACCCTGAGATGCTGAGTTAGATCAATAATGAGGCACCATTTTTTTCCTCCCACCCATTCGATTGCCAAATGTTTTGAACAAGCAATAACAATCGTTGCTGACAAACACTCGGGGATAGAAACATTCCCTGACTTTGGTGGTAGGGGCGTGAATTCCTCAACCACTTTTGCAAATAAATGTGGCAGCAACTATTTGAGTTAAAATTGTATGTCATACGGGAATTCCAGTTCTAGAATTCTAACTTACATTAAAAAATCACATTTGGTAGAGAACATGTATACACATAAATGCTATTTCTAGCATTGTTTTTCGTGTCAATAAACTATAAACAATCTGAATGCCCAAGACTAGGGGATTGAATACATTTTGGCAAGTGCACGCACGCACGCACACACACACACTGACATTCACAATGGAAAATGATATACAGGTTATTTAAATGTTCCAAATGGGAGAGATGTTCATAATATACTGTGAGAAAAGTGGAAGCAAATTCGGAGTAAAGTGAATGAACATATCCTGTTAAAAAACCAACAAAACCAAACCTAAAAACATGTTATGTGGTCTTCTTTCCTGCCAGAACCATGGAGGTTACAGAAGAGACAAAAAGACAGTTCCTGCCAGGCCAGAAATTCTTAAGAAAAAATGAAGGAATTTTTCATAGTTGAAGATCAAGGGCCTGAGAAAGAAGTTTATTCAAAGGATGTTTAGAAAGGCGAGGAAGAGGCGTGTCTCTGAGGAAGGTAAGCGCCGCCCCAGGGATACCGGCAGCTGTGCAGAGCCCGGCGAGAACGGCCGGGTGGCAGAAAGCTGCGACTTCTGTGTGCCTGCGCCACCCAGGCTGGCCTTCGTCATCAGGGTCCCTATTGGTGGCGTGAGCGCAAGTTCCCAAAGGGGCTGTAGCTTCTCCAGCATCCCAGATTTCTCCTGGTGCCCTTGTGACGCTCAGCAGGGCCTCAGCTAACACGCTGCGGCCCGGGGAGCCATTTATTTCACGGTGAACCTGAAGTTAGTAATTGAGCCACAGGCGTGGTTATGGCGAAATCAGTTGGAAGCAAAGTGCCCTGACGGGTAACAGGGTCATGGCTGGGTGGCTTGGTAAACACGGTGTCCTCTGCATGGGGGGCTCACTCCTGAGATCTGTCCTCTGGGAAATTGCTTCACAGAAGCAAACGGCTTCAGCTGGCCCTTCCAATCATCTCCTCGAGGTGGCCTGGAAAAGAGACCATGCATTTTGCAGGAGGCAGAGATGCTGGCAATAGGAAAGCCGAGATCAACAGGCTTATGGGAAAGATGAGCTAAAGTGTCTACCGAAATTATTTGTGTAAGCTGGTCAGTTAATGAACAGCGGCTTCTTTCAAATTGAAATGTAAAACCATACAAAAACACCACCCCCCTCGCCCCAGAGAAAACAGGTTATGTGACTGACCAAAGAGAAAGTGGGACAAATACCCAATTCTTCACATTAATTACCTAAAGGAGGTATGGGGGGGGGGTATTTAATTTTCATTCATTTATTCATTTGTTATATCATAAAAGGGAAGCCATAAGGATGGATCCGGGGAGAGAAAAAGCTGGACCACCAGTGTGGCAGCCAGCCTCACTATCACCCCCTAAATGTGAGCAGGGGGCTGCCTCTGAGAGATGTGGAGAAAGATATCGATTGAGGAGGGAGAGAAGGGCTGGGCCACCCCAGTTGCCTGCGGTCCCTGACGGGCGCTCTCCCCTCTGCAGGGGCCTTCAGGGTGCCCATGGCCACTCTCGGCCCGGTTACATGCAACGTGCCGTCGTAGCCTGCTCTTCTCACCACACTTGTCATTGTCAGGTTTTTGAATTTTTTCCAGTCAGACAGACATAAAAGGGTATCTTGTTTTAATTTGCATGTTTCTAGTACTAGCCAGCTATAGCCCCCCCATATTTTTATTGGTTACACACTTACCTATGCCAAGCTCACCTTCCTAGGGCGGTAAGAATGAAGGCAGCAGGAGGTGATTGATGGGGGAGGGTGTCGCTCCTATCGAGACGAGTCCGAACTTGCAGACGAGCCAAGAAATTCACCAGCTATTCATGGTCCCCTCCTCAGCCCACCCCCAGACCGAGGCACCAGTTTGCAGGTGGGTGACACTGCCCAAGGACTTGCTAGGGGAAGAACTCGCAGGATAATATTTGAAGTTATTACTCTGTGTTTTTTTCCTCCCTCTGTTCCTCCTCACTCGAGCAGACAGTTGGCTCTGAGGAAGCGTGGTAGGATGTTTCCCGCTGTTAATGACCAGTAACCCAAGTCTGAAGAAGTCAGGCAAGATTTCCAGAAAAGGCAGGAGGAAGGAAGATTCGTGGGCATCGACCAGGTATCTTGGCCGGAGACATGATAGGAAGCGACTTTTCCAAGCTAAAGAGAGATTCCCATGGGAATAAGGGGGTGTAGGGAGGAAGGGAAGAGTGTGTGGGAGCAAAAAGATAGGGTCATTGCCCAATTTTTAACTACATAAAGAAGGGAGAGGAAATGCATGCTTGGTACAGACACGATTGAAACTAAGAGGATCCATTTACCCAATGACAGGCATTTTGGAATTATATATAAAAAATAATTCTTGTATCCCTGTGCAAGAGTTTTGCTGGGATTTATACTTTAGAAGTTGGCTTACTGTGGGAGTTAAGCTTCAAATTTTGCTGGGTGTTGCCAAAATGCTCTCAAATTATACTGATTTGCTCCTTCAACCTCTTATACTTTTCTTCTCAAATGTAAACTACATTCCCTATAGTAAAACTTTAGTGTTCATCAACTAAAGTTCATCATGTAATTAACATTAAGAATCTGAAAGTGTCTATTTCCCCTACTTCCTCACCACACTTGTCATTGTCAGGTTTTTGAATTTTTTCCAGTCAGACAGACATAAAAGGGTATCTTGTTTTAATTTGCATGTTTCTAGTACTAGCCAGCTATAGCCCCCCCATATTTTTATTGGTTACACAGAGCTTCTCTTCTGTGAACTGAAGCTTTATATTTATTTCTTTACTGGAATTTGTCTTTTTCTTACCTACAGGAACTTCTTACATATTCTAGATTGCAGTTATTTCTCAAATGTCTTGTAAATATTTCCTATGTTTCTAGCTTGCCTTTTAACTTTATGGTGTTCAATGTATAAGAATCTAAAATGTTAATGTCATGAAATGTATTCAGCTTTTAGTTTGTACTCAATGGTTTTTTTTTCTTAATAGACTTTACTTTTTTGCAGCAGTTTCAGGTTCATAGAAAAACTGAGCAGAAGGTACCCAGATTTCCCACATACCCTCTACTTCCACACAGGCATAGCCTCTTCCATTATAATCAGCCCCCCCAGAAAGGTTCATCACTACAACTGATGAACCTTTTTATATGTTAAGAGATCTTTTCTTACTTTAATGTTATGAAATAATCTCTTACATTTTTTTCTAAAACTTTTAAGGGATGGTTTGAGCCTTTATGTCTTTAATCCATGTGGGCATCCTTTTTGTGTATCGAGTGAGGAGAAATTTAATTTTCCGATACATTTAAAAGTTTGTTGCCCAATTACATGGGGTCAGACCACCCTATTGGCAGAATTCCCCTGCAGCCCCACTGAAAGATTCAGGATAGCGAAGCAGTTCACAGCAGGCATCAGGATTAGACATTGTGCGTAAGCCACTGGGCTCATGAGAAGGCTCAGAAACCAAAGAGAAAACCAGTGGTGTTACCTGGAGCAGTGAGTGGGGTGACCACTGAGGAGTGACCCATATTGAGGACATGGGCTAATGGGGAACTAGGGAAATTAACTGATTGAAAAATGATACAACCGGCCTGGCCTCCCAGATCAATACCAACCAGCAAATGTAGCAGCAAAGACGGCAGAACTAATACAGCCAAAGCATTTTCCGAGCAAATGGAGATAACCAAGAAGAAAGTATTTACTGGGTAATCTTTAATCTGTGTAATATCATTAATTTATTCAACATATTTAACATATATAGTATATGTTAAACATAGTATATTGAACCTATACTATAAGCTTCTTTAAGTTCTTGAAAAAACTGAACCTCATAACCCATGGACCCAAGGTGAAAGCCT